TTAAACGTAGATGGTACCAAAGCTAAGCTTGTACCGTGCTGACCGGATCCTCTATGAGCTCACATTGGAGGTCATTGCGGAAGTACACAGCCACCCCTCCACCTTTGCTGGGTCGGTCATGCCGAACATTGGATATGCCTGGCAGTGAGATCTTTATGTCAATTAGGTCAGTACTAAACCTATGTCGATGAGGTCGCAGACTTTAGATTCTAGACGAAACCGCATTTCGGAAAGTTTACTAAGTAAGCCTTGAGCGTTGGTTTACATACAGGAAAGATTCTCGGATTTGAAAAGCTGTTGAATAGGAGCACGTGAATGATGTGGATTTGTGCCGACAGTTGAGAGGCCGACACCTAATCGTTTTTTGCGTGAATTGCCAAGTCTCGATAGGAATTCAGTCTGTTTTGGTCTCACTTGCATCTGCGGTATGTAGTCTATCGGTAGGCTTCCCGATAACTACGGGTCTTAGGGCACAGATTTCTAAATCGCTGTTGTGATTATACTGAGTCGCCAGTGGTGTTGTTTCCGTTAGAATAGCGAGTGGCTTCCGCTCTTTAGCTGCTGTCTTCAATGGTATTTCCGAAAAAAGTGTGTTGCGTAGTAACTGCCAGCCACACATTAAGTCCGCGGCCATCTCTTGTGACTTCACCGTTCGTTTCAGTATCCTCAGGCCAGTGCTTTTGTAGTTTGGCGACAAGGGTAACCGTATAATCGACTGAAGTGTGACGTCGCCTACGTGGCGAACTTCACGGACGTAACGCCAATCTTCCAGGTCACGAGCGTGGGCTTCTTCGTTGCTGGTTGTCTGTAGCTCAGGTACGCCATGAACAAAAATACTTGTTTACTACCCTACGTGTGGTGCTCGTTTGAATGATGTTTGTTTCAATGGTTTTCGCTCCATGGAACACCCGGAAATATGCGTATGCCACTGTTTTCAGTCCGCAGGCCGTATGTCGACAAAAGCATCTTCTCTACATCATCTGTTGATCCCTATGTTACTCGCATTAGCCGGTGCTCCCCATAATTATTCAAGGTTGGATGTCTAGTGATGCGCATTAAATTAATCGGACTGGCGTGAACTCCGATTTTAGCACAAACGAAATTCCATGGCTTTAAATCATCTATCTGTTTACCCCTTAAGCTGTTTGCCTTAGACTCAGGAACTTTGGTGCATATAAGTGTGAAGGCACCATTGGTCTGTCTGGTCTTCGGAGATGTGGGGAGCACAGTTATCGAGGGATTTAGTGACGTCTCCGCAGGTTGCACCTAGTCCTTTACCCATTTTCTGGCTGTACTGGCTGAGGCTACTAAGGTCGCACTTTGATTATATCGAGCGGCAACGGTTGCGTAGGTGGATCGGTCTTTAGATCGCTTCGGATTTCGTTGGTCAATCGGCAGCGTGGGTGTTACGTAGATTGCACCATTAGATACATTGGTTAAGAGAATGTGTGCGGTGAGGCTAGCATGGTTCTATCGGTCGCGATGACGACTTGATTCGTGGTTCGCAAGCTTTCTACTACTGTGTGGCCGTGTGAATGCCTGGCCCTTTTCCATGGTTTCGAGGCGGCGGTTGTGGGATAGGAATGAGTAGGAAGATGTCCTATTGTCGCTTCGGACGAAGCAATTGTTGCACTCAAACCATGTCCATTTCCGGCGACTAGGAAGTCACATTTTTGTGTTAACGCTAGTACGCATTTTACTATGGAACCGTCGTGCAGTTCGGACAGAACCAAAGCGAACCTGGCATACTGTATTTCTTTATGTCGGTTCTACAGACGTCGACGCATTTCGTATGGTACCGGTTTTGGCAATTTGTACAAGTCAACTCTCCTTTTAATACCCTAGCAAAGGTCGAGTAGCACCAAGTACTTTGTTTCAGCCTACCGGTGTGATGGTCATGATGGCCAATACCCGTAGAAAAAATCCAAGATGAAGGAAAATGTTGGCAGTTAGTCTAATCAATGAGAACTACCAAATTGGCCAGAGAACATCCACCAAATTTGTATAGATTGAAGAATACACCGAAAGAAAAATATTGGTGCACAATTTCTACAGAAAAATCACGTAGAAGAGAGTAATACGAAAGAAAAAGTGGAATGTAGCACGGTAGTCAAAAATCCGAGGTGTTCGTTTGTACATCCAATCCCGAGCATTAGCCCGGTGCGTTATAGAGAATGAGAGAGAATTACAGTTTTGGCGAACCCGCAGAGAAAATTAATGCCATCAGACTTCAAGGTGATTAACTCGGACATTGATAATTTGAGAGTCCCAGGGATTGGGGTTACTTAACATTGATGCACTAATAGTAGAACACCGCCTAGCCGCAGAGGATGTCCGCTGTATACTCCCACCAGCTACAGTGGTTGATGTTAGAGAAATTACATAGCCGTTTGACCTTATTTGTTGCTCGTACTCCATTCAATCTTTCTCAGGTTTAACAACGTATTCAACGCGAGAACTCACGTAGAAGCTGTCAAGCATCAGGGATATTGATGGGTCAAACGCCAGAAGTCATGTCGACGCAAGCCGGCCATGCTGGTTGTCTCATCTTGTAGCAGCCTAAGATTAATTTGGACATTTGAGCTCATTCTGTATCATCTCAGCAAAGTCCCGTTGCCGTGGACTGGTCTGCACTCTGTGTGCACCAAACCTTTAAATTGAGTCATGCCTATGATCTGATTGAACAATCGAGTATAACTAAATTTATGACCGGGTTTTGCGAAATGACTGGTGTGAAATCGGGTCAACATCACACTGGTGCCGTTTGTGGTCGTCAGGTCTTCTGATCGTTTTCCGTATCTTGAGAAAATCTGTGAAGAACAACAACCCGGAAACAATTCTCATTGATATATGGTTTAGGAAAACTAAAAACGAAGAAGGCCAAAGCACCGGGCATTGCCGTACGTTGCACTCGACCCATGTTGCATGGGATAACGATTCAGGACTCATGGCTCCAGCTGACACACATTTAGAAACTTACTTTTTCATTTAAGAAATGTGTCGACAATGACATACTTTTGTAGCTTATAGAAGGGAGTTCGACTGCCTAAATGACCAAACACCTTTGAGAATTTCGGGCAGACGACCTCAATTCGAACATTATCCCTAACTGATTCGATTCAACTGCATGTTGCAATTAACAGTTCAGTGTTATGGGGCGACTTTGGAGGATGACATGCTGTTTTGAGTTCACTGTAATATGGTTTTCCAGATATTACATCAGTGTGTTCACGAGAATTGACTCAACTTATGGACAGTAGCTCCATCGATCGATAAGCTAACCCGTACTATTGGTCCGCATTGTACTAAAGGTCGCGTGGCTTACAGTTCTCATTACTGCTCTCAGATCTCACTTCGACATGAGTCTTTGATATCGTTTCGCGGCAAGGTTGGCAAATACACGCGCTTTACTAAGTTAACTTTTGTGCACGTTTGCTTACTCTTATCTTTATAGAAACATTGATTCGAGGGATATTTTATGCTACGTAATAACACCATATGTGATCATGTAACAGTACCCGAGTTATTCTGACCTCGCTACTCACAGAATTTGAAAAGCAACTTTTAAGTTTTTCTTTCTTACTGTACGTTGGAGACATGAGTAACATCTTTCGACATCACACATTTTTGGCGCTCGCATTGCAGGCTAAAGAGTACTTTGGTATAAATTTCTAGCACGGTGTGTCAGTCCCAACCCATGTTATCTTACTGTACTTATCACACAGCGGGCATTTTGTCATTTTAGCTCATTAATTTGCCAAAGTCCTTTTAACAGTTGGTTGCGTACAGTTTCGAAGCTACATACGTAAATACTTAATATACTTGACAGAGGATGAAAATCGACGGTCCAGTCTTGTAATTGTAAAGATTGCAGCTGATTTACATCAGCTAGAAGTATATCAGCTATATAGCGAACCCCCTTTTAATTCTAGTTTTGTAAACACATTTAGTGGCATCACTACATTAAAACTTAAGCATTTAACGATTACCTTAATTGAGGATGGAAAACCTCAAACATATTTCGGACATTTGCGGTCCGTAGTGAGTAGGTTGCTGAACAGATCCAAGTGCTGTCGCTCTACCTAGAAGATAACACATGTCTCAGTTGACCGCGGCCACCACCATCTTCAGGGCAAAAGGTAGAGGTGTGCAGGAGAAAGTGAAGAGTTGAATATTTTGTTTCGTTATTCAAAGTATGTCAGCTGGTTCTGAAATATGTTTCAATCACAAAGCTGAAACTGTTCAAATGAGAATATACTCTCTCTTCACAATAGATGGTTTCTGCATCAGGTGCCCCATATCGTACAAATTTTGACTCAGACAACGCAGACAAAACGCAGTGCTGGATTATGTCAATTATTTGTTCGTTGAAGAAATTCCACTACACCGGTTCCCACACGCCTAGATTTTGACCTAAAAAGTTTGCCAGGGACATGCCAAATAATTTCGATTATTCCATAACTGGGGGCCCCTCTCTTTCCCACGTACTTTGCTGTTTTGAGCACGACTTGCTTTCAAAAGATAAACGCATACCAACCCCCGTACATGGAAAAGGTGCGGTGTTTGTAGACTGTTAGTGTAAGCACCTGGTAACGCATCCATTGACCAACTCTGACTCTAATTAAACGCCTGTATTAATCGAGTTAGTTCGTTAACCTTATTCTAGTCTAAAGTATACTTTTTATATCCTACCCAGATGTCTGAATTGATCTAGCTAACTTAAGCTCACTATCAATTCTGCGGTACGACGATGTTTGAAATGTTTTGCTTTAGTGAGATTTGTCTTATACGAGGTGTAACATATGGTCATGACTGCTTTCCAATTACCTTCCACACTCTGCTAACTCTAATAAGGTTTCAATGGAGTTTGCACTTTAGACTGAAAAGGATGTCCAAGAACACACCTCCTAAACTTAAATATTATTTGAAACGAAATTCGCATAGGTAACAGAAGTGCTTTATGAATGAAAAAGAGGAACATTAGGAAGATGCATGAAGTTTTACTTTGCAATTTCCAGGCAGCCGGGTCCTCTGAAATGAAGCGAAGTAAGCGGGAGATGAAACATACACAAACATCTAGTCATTTCCACTGCAACCGGCATTTCTATGAATGGAGGTACGCGTAACTCACATTCGTGCGCAACGTGTCGCAGTCCTTGACCATGTACCCTTTGCAGTTCGTTGTTGACATCAACTAAAACAGCCTGGCGCACATCCAAATACGCATCGTTGGGGTACAACTTGTACGCAGCAACCTCATTCACCGTTATCCTGACTACGCTGTAAAGGAACTGGTCAACACTGTGTAAGCTGACAGTGTTTATGGTGAATAACTCTCCACCAAATCTGCTTTGCAATAACGCATTGAGAAGCTAAAATTTTAAGGTCAAATGAACGTTGCAGTAAACTTTTTCAGATGTAAACAGGATGGATATCAGTACGTTTTGATAAGAACTCACGGAACGAGTGACAGACCACTTATGTTCAGGAGCCTCGACGCCAAGCTCTCCCTGAGGAAGCGTGCGGTAAAGAACAAGTTTGTCCTCGTGATAGACGAAGCCACCGAAGCGAAGAGCTAAAGGAGCAATTATGATGAAAGAGCTTAGTCAGCCTTATCGCACAAGTTAAGGCCTGATATTATGCTGTTCGGCAGCCTGATGTTTCCCCACGCTACGTCATGTGCTGCCTCACAAGTGTTCGCTTAAACTGACCCTTGCTTGGTGCTAATATTTCCTAAAATATTATCATTATAAATAATAGGTTTATTAAAACAGACAACGTAGTCAAAAAGTGACTGATTTGTTGTATGCATTAAGCAAACTTTCGCTTCCCATTCGATTCAAACATTGACAAAAGCAGCTGAAATATGGCTTCACCGCTTTGTCGCTTGCAACAACCTTTGTTATCGGTCAACACCGTGATGCTTACTTCTACACGTAAATCAGTAAAAGTACATTAGTTGAGCAATCTACATGATAAGTCGATTGGAGATTTTTTTGCATGCGAAGATATAACTGTGTTAGCCAACCCAGTTTGCACATTTCACTATGTATACTAGTTAAGTCTGATCAGTGTCATATTACGGGTACTAATCCGTTATCTTAGTTTGCACTTAACTTCTGAATACCAATGTATCGTGCCTGGCTAATGAGGTGATTAGGTAGCTGGCCAATTAGAGAAAATGGCGGTTTAGCACGTCCTTGGATGCGTGGAATGATGTCTGAGGGGGAACTGGATGCGACAAATATTCTGGGCAGCCAGATCGAAACTATACGCTATTCTTAGAGAATAGCATGACATGCGTTTGGCATATTATTTCTGGTATTATCTAATGGAGAATTTCTAAAACAATCTTCACTTGGAGTCTCTCGTGTCTAGACCTAAATCGAATGACAGTACACACCACTGAATGCAATGAAAGGCCATTTCATAATAAGGAAGTGATTTTGATACCAGCTTTGCTAAGTTCCACCAAAATATTTTATCTGAAGGCCATCATCTAATAAGTTTCAACATACGCAAGCAAATGGAATATGAGTTTCTACATATTTGTCAACTGGGAAAGTAAACAGTAACGACCACACCGAATGCTCTAACCATATTAGGCTATGGGCTTTCCTGAAAAATTACAGTCACACACTAGAGAACCACTGATCATAGTAAGAATCCATCATCTTGGGATATTACTGATGGATTAAAATTAGTGTACCAAGAAAATTAAAATTTACGGTTCACTGCTATCCGATGCTTATTTAAAGTATGATGTTTTTCAACTTCAGAGTGCACAGTATGGAGACTGAATCAATGCATTCGCGATACAGTACTGCCCCCTGATGCATAATACGCTAGCCCTAGATCTATTTCGCGTGCAGTCCTACAGTGTCAGATGGAGCAGAACCATAAGGTTGTAGTTTACATCCTAGACTTAACTAGTAAACATCAAAATTATCAGTTTATCCGCGGGCTTACTTCTTATGGCATATCAGTTGATCAGGCAGCACTCAACTTGCGTGTTGATATCATTGTGATCTATCAACGAAACATCGTTTCTGCGCCCCTTGGCCGGTTATTGCATTAGCGGCAAATATGTAGTTCTTACTAGTGCTATTATGTATAATATCGCATAAATAATCTTGCAACTTACCAAAGTTATTCGCTTGGGTGGATTTTCTCATTTCTGCCCATAGAGAAAATTTGTGGTTGTATATGTGTTATGGAGTCAATTGGACGCAGGTGACTGTACTCGAAATTTAAAATATATCTATCTCACTACAAATAATGTGTGCTGAGTCGGTTAATCTCGGCTGGTACATGGTGACTTTTGCTGCTGTTCTCAAACTAAGACAAGCAAAGGATTTCTGAGCTACTGCTGGTTCGAGAGTAATCATAAAATCGGATTGCAATTCCAAATATTACCATTTAAGATAGTTAAGCGAGAACTCCGCCCTACTTAGACGCATTATAATTCGTGTGGCTCCAGGATGCAGTAATATATACGGGGTGCTTGGGTTAAACGAATGTTGCAAAAACGGTGACACAATAATCATTAACATTCTAAACAGCTGTTAGGTAATTTTTCTACACCCAACCAGGTTGAAACTTACTTCTTACTGTGACCGTTCGAAAACCCGAAACGCGTCCTTCAAACCAGCTATTGAAAAATTTTTCAAAAGGTTTTGTGTCGTAAGAGAGCAGTTCAGGGCGATAATTTAGAAGAGCGCTTTTGTTATATTCCAAAATCATCTCGCAGTACGTGTACGGCTGTCCCAAAGCAAACCAAAGTCCCCATTTGTAAGTGCAGATAGTGGTTGAAAACGTTTTGATCGCATCCCATAAAATCCCTTTTATGCTTGTAAACTAAAAATGAAAGGTCGAATATTCAAAGATGCTTATCGGAAGTTCGTTTGTGGAACGGACAACAGGCGCAGTGCTCAGAAATTAGAATCATATAACTTCAGAATTATAAAATGTTGTGTTGTTATTGACCATTCTGTTCGATAACTAGCTGACTATTCGAATCGAAATGAATGGTGGATAAGTGCCTGTGTGATAACTCGGAACTGGTATTTTAGCCGGTTTGTTATTGTCCTCTAAGGCGAACACATCCGGTTCCTCAACAATTGGGAGGATATAATACGAAGTGCGTACCTGCTATTTCCCAGCATGCTTCTGTTTCTTGACCGGCGGTTTGATTCGACAAATAATAACAGCAATTTGCTTTCTACTTAGAAACGATGAAATCGCGATGCGTAAAACCTGTACAGAATCCATAATGTGATCTTTGGTGTGATCTTTGGCATACATTCCTGCGAATTCAACTCTGACCTGGAGCTTAACACTTCCTACTATTAGAATAAGCACAGGGGCAGCTAGCAATATTTAAACGCATTCTTCGTTCGAATCAATGAACTTGCTTGTCTAAAACATCAGACAATAGAAAAGGGAAAATATTTTTGCGGCACTAACCGAATACTTTATGCTCTCAATGGAAGTGAAGTGAGCTCCAGAAGCTTCATTTTCAGCTGCCGGATCGTAAGGTTGCAAGTTGTCATTCTTGTAAACGAATCCTGAGACGCCAATTACTGTGGAATCAAAAGCATGAAAGATACAAAGCTCCCGCTTCGTATAGAAAATTAGCAATGCATCAATGAGGAACAAATTTTGCACTCTGAACGCGCGATCAAACGGAATTCCGAGTTTAGTTAGTTGTTTGGATGGTATGAGCTACTAGCTGTTCTGCAAAAACGAAGCAAAATATTGAAACCAAGAGTAAATGATTGATAAGTAGCTGAGCTGATAACAGGCTAGAAATTTTATTTGGACCGGATAGCCTTCACCGCTTCGAATATATTATGTTCCAGTCACGTTGCACTTCTTGACTTCTCTTATTCTCCTACTGTTTATTACAGGACAAATTGTCGGAGTTTTGCGCAAAATTTTTATACCCATGAAATTATGAAGCAAATAAATTTGAAATCATTGAGTTTATCTTGTTCACTTGTACGTCAACTAAAGGGTTCCTGGTTTCATTTTTCTGATCTATGCATTCCAAGATATTTGCTTACGAGCGCTGTGATACCTCAATTGAATGATGTATTTGAATGAACAGCAAAGCGCATCCTTTCCAGTAACATTGACATCTGCTTTCCATGGCTGAGATAGAAACAAGCTCAAATAAGCTTGGACAATACGAACACTGAGAACCTTCGGTTCGTTACGTTCACCGATACCTTCAACGTACCAGTCTGGGCCGATGAAATATTCGCCGCTGTGGTTCACACAATTGGTTGGAACTGCAAACTACGGGTCACTTAAACAAAACGCATTATGCAGATATATGTAGATTTATCCTTTGAGAGTTAATTAGATTGAGCAAAAATCAGATGGTGCGGTATGATGCAATTACGGCACGGCGCTGGTCCTTTCGCGTTTGCAATGCAACTGGTCTGACTGCCTACAACAATACGCCTAATGAGGTAGCAGGTTATACATTGACTACGTTACAAATTCATACTACAACTAACAGTTTATCCGTATAAAACGTTCTCACTTATCAGAAATATAATTGTGTAGCTATTTATTTATTTGTTTCGAGACCAGGTGCACTAAATTCAAAGGAATTACACATATTTACTAGCAACATTGCGGCAAACACCAAGTGCCAACTTTCCTTTACTCACCTATATCCATAGTGCCTCGGGCATCGGTAATGTTGCCTTTAGACACCTGTCATCTGCTTTCAGCCTACCACCTGTCTTCGTGCACTATTCTGCGGTCTGTTTCTCTGTCCTCGTACTACGTACACTTCCTCGGAATCAATATCCCCAATCGATCGCTTGGCACCTTGTAAGCATATCTCCGATTACTTACCAGTCTATCATTTCTAAAGAACTGGATTGGTGATTGAACGAAGTAACAAAATATGTGTTATTCCACACAAACCTTATCTGATTATTGTTTGTTGGGGACTTTACACTTTTTGTAATCTGACCAGTTATCCCGGAGCTCTTTGTGGACTTCACGTGCTTTTGTATTCAAACTGGCGGCATAAATGTTGCAAGATGATGGTTTTATCTTTAATGGATCATACTACACAAAGTAGTGTTTCTCCACAATCAAGCAAATGCGTACTCACTTTCCTCGCCGAACGAATCGAAGTGAAATAAATCTTTACAGGGAAGAGGCAAGAAATGTACATTAAGGTGATTAACAAAGGTTGCAAGAGAAATTTTTTTATCGTATTTCGTGTAATATACTGTGCATTTTTATGTCCGTACCAATTGACTGCTAACTTTTAACACACCTGTTAAACTGATTGACGCTTCGTAACCGGGAAAATGATTGAAACCGACATTTATAAATTCCGCCACATTATCCAAGTCTCGCTTTGTTAGTGGATCCACGAAGTTGGCTTCGAACCTATTTGTGTCAATAAATGCATCGAAGATTGCCAGTGCGTTGTCTGGTCCTGGGAGATATTGATGAAGTCGAACACTAAGTATTGTGGTTTGAAGATGTTTGATATGGGGATTTTGTTCTACCTAACACAGAAGAAATAACAATAGCAGAATAAACAAAGACCTTGTGGACCAAATAAATGATACATAATAAGAAAATTTTGAACATATTAAGTATAGACTAGGTGCAATTAAATGCAGATTGGGAAGCATATATCATGTTAAATTCTCCTCTGACCCAATTGTAACTGGCGCATTATCTCGCCAGGAAAAACGTGAGCATAACTGAAACTTCGACGGCGGCCATTCCATCTGCAATAAAACTGATGCGATAACATCACGTTGATCAAATTCAACTAAGTGTGTAATCAGGTTCAAAATGGGAGCAATTCTTTCCGCGCTTACTTACCATTTGAACAAGCTTTTGCTCGTAATTCTTCTGCTTCGCTTGGTTACCAAAGAAGAAAAATGGATTTTCATCTTGGGATGTTTCCTTTAACACCAACTGCGCACGAACCACTATGAAATGAAATGTTGTCGTCTCATTGCACTGGTGTGAAATAATTAGGAAACACATTAGCGATAGACAACCAAATTACTAAACTTACACGTCTGCCAGCGAACGTCTTGTGCTGTTTACACATGCACGTGTAAAGAAGAGGATATGGACGGTTAATGCTATCAATAACAAGTAAAATATATCAAGTTATTCTTTATTATCATAATCTTAAATTGAAACGTTTTTAAGTTTAATGTATCATGGGGAATCATGCGCCCTTAAGCAGATATTACCTGATCGAAATTCTTTCACTGATGAGCTCCAGGGCCAGGCGTCTTTGACACAACTGACTGTGGTGATGTAAAGCCAAACTAGCAGTCTTAGGTTTACGAAGGTTTTCATGATTCTTCAGTCGGCTAGCACAAATGCAGTGACGGTAGAATTAAGTATGAGAAAACCGAACGAATCGCAACTCCCATATGCGCACTACCGCTCTGATTGGAAGAACTTATCGGCACAGTCATTTTTTCGAATTATTGGTATGCAACTTGACAAAGCTTCCACCAATGGCGGCTGACGATTGCATACGCTATTGAAACAGAACACTTGATCAAATCTATGTTTCCAGATGGAATCATTAAAGAATTGTTTTGAAGATGCTGAACTTTCCCTATGCTAAGAGATTTCGTTGCAGATGTTACTTTTTCAAGGTGCACATTAGCTACAGTAAAAACTAATCATTAGCTGATATATTTGAAAATAAGACATTTCGTTCTTATTGGGACCGTAGCTTCCGAAAATGACGGCACGTGTGCGTAGTTCAAGTCATCGCTCATCACTGTAATAACAGAAACAAACTGTGAATATGCACATTCTTTTCAACTGCCATCCGGTCCTAAATGAAACGATATAATTGAGATTGGTAATGTTTCATTTTGTTTTTCCGACCAAAAATTAGCACTACCGACTATTTGTGCTGATATGTAGTATTTGTCCTTGCTAAAAAGCTAAAACTGTGGCGTTCGACTACACAAAGAGACTGTACAGAAAGGGCTACGTCTGCGTTGGGACCTTAGAGGCAACATCTGCTCTTGATCTGTTCTCTTTCATGATAAGACCGGTGCTGGAGTACGGCTCAATCGACTATTGTCCGATCACACCAGATGAGGTGCCGAGACTGGATTAGGTTCGGCATGTAGCTACACGGCTCATCCTCAGCTTACGGGATATGCCTAGGAGGACTGATGTAGGAGAATAGGGATGTATACCCCGTTATATGGTCGGCTTAGAAATGATCCGTTATTGACCCACCGGATACCGCATCTGGACCACCCCCTATATTGAGGCCGTTTTTACAATTTCGCGCGCGCCAAGGAACGAACATGGACACCAGTACAAACAAATGGTACCAGATTTAAAGCGCATCCCCTAACCTCTGTACTTCGAGCTTCGAGTGGTGAAATGTTGAAACAAATTGCCAGAGACGCCAGTCGAGGAGCAATCGGACTCGAAATTTAAGAGATTACTTGAAGCACACTTTGCGGTCTACAGGTGTAGGGAGCGTATCACACCCGGGTAAGATAGATTGCAGATGTAATATGCTGCCACCGCGCTGGAATCAGCGATAGGCTACCGCGCAGATGCCTGATCAAATTATGCTGGAGAAACAAAGATTTATATCTTCTCGCTCTCTAAGTACAGTATTCATTATTCTGTTGGCATAGTTGCTTACACCTTTTACGAGACCTAGACGCTGTCATCTACCTCTACCTTTATGAAAGTTGCACTTGGTTTTGCACGTACATTTTACAAGGGACGTCTGAATGGACTAGTCACAGCCCTACTCGATCAGCTAAATAAAGTAAACCCAGTAGCGCGCCGGACTGATGTTTCCCCCCATAATAAGCCCGTTGGCAGACCGGGGCATGTAAAGCAGTATTCCATAGCCCGCATACAATCATAGTTCATTAATCCTTGCGTATTGGAACCCTGTGACTTGATCCAAACGAAACAGTTCAAATGTAGCTTGTTCGTATACCCGCTGCTTCATAGACGGTGTGCGCTACGAATGATACCCGGTGGAGCGACATACTCACTTAACACATCTCTAATCTTGTAATGGCTATCGCAGGAAGTTTAGCTGATAAAATTATTCTCACGGTTTACAAAATATTATTTACTACAATGTAAAAGTGCCGTATGACTTGTTGTTAAGTGTGCACTACCAAAACCTATTTCTTTTTTGTTTCGGCTCTTTTCATTAGGCATGTTTTACTGCCTGATTTATGTAGAATTGCACCAAAATATCAATGCCAGTTGGCTGTTCAGAGACCCTCTAATCAAGCGATGGAACAAGTTGGGAGTAAACATTATCGTATGTGCGAATGAAAATGACAAACTCAGTCGCTGTGCAATCCTTTTGAGAATAACTAAGTTAACTATATACAAGTAAAGTTTCTCGCAACCTTTTACTAAATACAATAATTTAGGCAATGACGATATACATGGTATTTAATATAACTACAAAACTGGTGCCTATAAAACAATATTGTAAAAGTCAACAAATATGATGGAATTATTTTCTAACTTCGCCAAACATTCTCTGATAGTATTGTGGTGATTGTACATGAACAATATTGTACTCACCTTGTTTTCTCGTGCTTGCAAACCTAGCGTAATTCTGAAATCACTGAATACGATTTATGTGTGCTATTACTGAGCGTTCGTACTTCAGGGTCATTGCTAGCTTTGGGCTTGAACCTAATCCATTTAGATTATGGTTACTTTATCGAATACAGTTGCAGCGCATTGGGCAATTATACGCCTACACAAATAACGTTTTGGTATACATTTACGATTCTTACTGAGATTAAAGCATTGCCGTTCATTTTCATCCCCATAATTATTTGGCTAAATCTTCCATAGCGATGGTACAGCTTTGGAGCATAGCGCTTGCCGCATATTCGTAAGACATACAGCACCATACTGCTAAGCATAGTCCGCCCGCTGATTATGTATAGCGATAAGATAATTCTGAAGAAACTGGAGGTACAGTGTTTTTGATCCAATCAGTTCCGGTCAGCTGCTCCCACCTGGTTTGTTATAAGGGAACTACTATCATGCTGTTCTGTCATCAATCCGCAAGGGATGGAATTCTAATTTGACAAGAAAATTTTCGCTGCGAAGTCTCGGTTATGCCTGATGAAAGTTTGTGTTCCCAAGCTCGAATTGTTTTTCCTCCTACACCTCAATCTGCTGTATTGGAAGACTTGCACTCTGGCCAACTAGGTGTGTAAAAAAGGAAGTTCTTTTCTAGGTTGACCCGCTGCTGGCCAGAGCTGAATGATTACATTTTCCGCCCAACAAAAAACTGTGCCAGCTGCTCACACAAAATCCATTCCAGACCCTCGAAATAGACGTCTTGACCCATGTCATGTGAGGCACGCAACGTGTACATGCTGACTATTGCGGTCCATTTTTGGACATATGCTATGCATTAATAATAATGGGTTCACTTCCGCGTTGGACACAAGTATACTTTGCCACATCGACCAATTCAGACTTCACCATCACCGCTCTCCCTAAGACCTTCAGTCACGAAGGCGTACTGCCTGTATTGGTTACGGAGAGCGGTATCTATTTCAGTGCTGAAAACGTAGATTTGTAGTTTAAAGAGGTTGGTTGCCGCCACCTCTATACTGCTCATAGGCACGCAATGGTGTTTCAAACGACTGTGCGTGTTCTGAAAAGTGCAGTCGCTTCCCTCAAACTAGCAATGTTTGTTGAATTTGATAGAGGTGTGGACAAGTTCCTAATGCAGTACAGGAACGATGCTCACTTGACCACCGGAGAGCGCCCGGTAAACTTGTTCAAGTCGCGCGTGCTTTGGACAAATATATTATGTCTGGAATCCGCTGAAGTTGTCTACCATGGTGTTAATGATTTCCGACCATCAGGTGGAATAATCCTCAACCACTTTAGTTCCTGTATGTGTCTAACACTTGACTTATCGGATGGTGCTTTGCATGATAGGCATTATGATCAATCAGTATGTAATTATCTTGCTAATACTTAGATTATTAATGAGTATAACGGTCATTTATTTGAGTTTACTACAGAGAGAATTTAAACAGACGTATTGGCTTCTGTTATTCCAGCACAGTAGTCGCGGAGTTCTGAGAGACTGAAGAACAAGTAGTGCTGTCATTGCCAAATCGCTGAATTCCCTTTGAACTGCGGCGGATGTGATGGTTCATGAACAATAGGATACTCTTCTTGTTTTCCTGTGCTTTCGGAATTAGCGTAACTCCGAATTCATTGAATATGGTTTCTATGTGCTCTCACTGAGAGTTAGTACATCAGGGTCATTGCTAGCTCTGGGTTTGAGCCTCATCCATTTCGATTAAGGTTACTTCATAGAATACCAAAGTTTTGCGGGCTATTTGAACCGGTTCGTGAATGACGTAGCATATATGACTAGCCGATTTGTTATCAGGCTAGCTTATTGAAAGCGTTAACAGAGTAAGCTAATAATTTCATACTAAAAGACAGTAAATGTTTCCATTGAGTCGGATGAAATGATGATGTGTTTTAACGTTGCTTTTTCGCTTAGCAGCTTGCCAAAACGTGACGCGTTGGATATAGGAGACGCTAGTTAGTCAAAGTCAATAACGGAGGGAGAACGAGTAGATTAGATAATCGACGGAATGACGAAGTGTTACCCACTGTTGTTTTGTGTTTAGTCTTTCTTATACACTGAAAATAAGGTCTCAACGTTAACTCCATTATATACCCCGCCTTGATAAAGCTATATATAGCTGCTTTTGAAATGAAAGCGCTGACCAACGGCAATAGCCAGCCGAAAATATGGTTATGCCATGTAGCTGACACGCTTGTTTTCGACAGCTAAAATAGTACTAATGATAACACTGGGTAGCATTTTTTTATAACGGAAATGAGATAAGTTGTTGCTAGCAGTACAAGGGCAGCAGTAGTGTTGTCAGCAGTTCATTAAATAGACATAGAGCCAGACATAACCATGGAATTCACTAAAAGAAGGCAGGTTGGACACCGTATCAGCATTATAGCACATTAACTAAAGGTAAGCACACACTTCAGCTATTGTGCCGCAATATAAAAACAACGGAGCATTTTTGTTATTTTGCATACTGCATTTTTTGATTTATCTTTTGTCATTTTAGTCGTTGAGCATTAAGTATCCAAATCTAATCAGTTAAATGCACAGATCCTCCAATGATTTCAATTAGATGTAATATCCGGAATCTTCCAGCCATCGGCACTCCTCCAATGGTCTGCAACCAGGCAGACGTGTGGATCCAATGGTGGCAAGACGTGAAGGCAAAGATTTCATTTGCTGCCGCCGGGTGAGTGACGGAACACCA